TGACTGGCCTGGCTGAGCAGAGTTTTGGCTGGAACTCGGTTAAAAAAAAGAGTTTATGACCTTTGGAAGAAGGGACAAGCAACTCAGGAGGGCAAGAAGGATGTTGTAAGGTTGGTTGTTGGCAGGGAGAAAATTGGAAGGGCCAAAGCCCAAGTAGAACTTAATCTGTCTACTGTCATAAAATATAAGAGAAAATGTTTCTATAAATACATTCACAAAGGTGAATTTCCATCTTTTATTGGATGAAGGGGGAAACACAGTGACAAAGGATGTGGAAAAAGCTGAGGTATTTGATGCCTTCTTTGCCTCAGTCTTTAATAGTAAGACCAGTTGTTCTTGGGGTACCCAGCCCCCTGAGCTGGAAGACAGGGAAGAGGAGCAGAGTGAAGGCCCCATAATCCAAGTCAGTGACCTGCTACACCACTTAGATGCATACAAGTCTATGGGGCCAGATAGGATTCACCCAAGGGTACTGAGGAAGCTGGCGGAAGTGCTCACCATCTAATTTATCAGCAGTCCTGGCTAATTGGAGAGTTCCTCGTTTAATAGAGGTTAGCAAATGTGATGCCTTTCTATAAGAAGGGCTGGAAGGAGGATCCAGGGAACTACAGGGCTGTCAGGATGATTTTGGTGCCAGAGAAGAACAGATCACCTTTACTGCTATCACGTGGCGCATACAGGACAATCAGGTGATCAGGCCCAGTCAGCATGGGTTTGTGAAAGGCAGGTCCTGCTTGACTAATCTGATCCCCATCTATGACAAGGTGACCCACTTAGTGGATGAGGGAAATGCTGTGGATTTTGTCTTCCAAGACTTTAGTAAAGCCTTTGACACTGTTTCCCACAGCATTCATGGCTTGGATGGGTGTGCTGTTCACTGGGTAAAAGAACTGACTGGCTGGCCAAGCCCTAGGAGTGGTGGTGAATGGAGTTAAATCCAGTTGGTGGCTAGTCACAAGTAGTGCTCCCCAGGGCTCATTACTGGGGCCAGTTTTGTTTAATATCCTTTTTTAATGATTTGGACAAGGGGATTGTGGGCACCCTCTGTAAGTTTGCAGATGACACCAAGCTGGGTGGAACTGTTGATCTTCTTGAGGGTAGGAAGGCTCTATAGGGGATCTGGACAGGCTGAATTGATGGACTGAGCCTTTTGAGGTTCAACAGGTGAAGTGCAAGGTCCTGCACTTGAGTCACAACAGTCCTTTGCACCATGCAACACTACAGTTTGGGGAAGAGTAGCTGGAAAGTGGCTTAGTGGGAAAGGACCTGAGGGTGTTGATCAACAGATGGCTGAACATGCGCCATTTTGTGCCCAGGTGGCCAAGGCCAACAGCATCCTGGCCTCTATCAGAAATAGTGCGGCCAGCAGGACCAGGGAAGTCATCGTCCCCCTGTATTTGGCACAAGTGAGGCTGAATCTGAAATACTGTGTTCAGTTTTGAGCCCCTCACTAAAAGAGAGACATTGAGGTGCTGGAGCATATTCAGAGAAGAACAAGAAAGCTGATGGAGGGTCTGGAGCACAAGTTCGATAAGGAGCAGCTGAGGGAACTGGGTTTGCGTAGCATGGAGAGGAGACTCGGGAGAGACCCTACGATTCTCTACAACTACCTGAAAGGAGGTTGTAGTGAAGCAGGCGTTGGTCTCTTTTCCCAAGTAACAAGCAATAGGACAAGAGGAAATGGCCTCCAGTTGTGCTGGGGAAGCTTTAGATTGGATACTAGGAAAAATTTCCTCACTGAAAGGGTTGTCAAGTGCTAGAACAGGCTGCCCAGGGAAGTGTTGGAGTCACCATCCCTGGAGGTATTTAAAGAAGTGTAGATGAGGTGCTTAGGGACATGGTTTAGTGGTGGACTTGAGAGTGACAGGTTAATGGTTGGACTCTGATCTTAAAGGTCTTTTCCAACTTAGATTCTAAATTATGTAATTGTTCATGTGGGCAGCCAAAACTGCATTATTATTTATATTTAACATAGCATTTTACCATATGCTTGGGCATATGTCCTCTAAAATACTGTTGTGTCACCTTTCATTTATGGAAGAGTTTTATTCAATATGAAGCATTAGAAAGTAGGAGCCTAAGTAAATTTCTGGAACAATGGCTTTGAGGGAGTAAAGAAACATCTTTCCATCTTGATGTCCCAGAAAGTATAATATGAATGAATACTGTATTTCAAAAATAGAGCAAACAGAATCATCAGAAGTATGCCAGTGCTGAGGGCAGCCTGGGGAGCAAATCACTCACAAAGCAGATTGTTCCTGTAATGGTTTACAACTGCAATGAATTTGTTTTGAAACTGTAGAACAAATTTTCTTAGACATCCTCACTTTGCAGGTTGATTTAATGCTGTTTGCTGCATCCTGTGATCAAAAAGTATTGAATAACTGAGGGTGGATATATAAATCAAGATTTTCTTTCTGTGACAGCATAGCAAGTGCATCTAAAGTAAGCTTGTAATAATACATTTTTTAATGGGATGTTAATGCAGTCATTCAGGAAAGGAGACCTTCATGGGTATTTTCATCTGAACAAACCTGCGCAGAAGAAATTAACCTGCATTAAAATGCTATAACTGTAGACAAATTGTCCCTATCCAGTGGTAATTTCATGAAACAGCTGTTGGAATTGGACAGTTCTGAGCACTGAAAATATTTTACTTCCTTCAAGAAGACAATTTATATGGAAGACATCAGGCACTTTAAAATGAAATTTACTCTCTGGAGCAAGTTGAAGTTGAAGGTTAGAGGTGATTGTCACATTTTTGCGAAAGCACGTTGGTAAAGAAGAACCTAGTGGCCAAAGTCAACTGAAGCTGCATTTTCCCCTTCAGATTTTTACGCGGTAGCTGTGTGTGGGTAGATGACTGAGACAGAGCAGATTGTAGCTCTGGTTATTGTAAGAGAGATGATAGCTTCTGAGGGGAGGCCTAATGTATTCCTCCCACACAAGAGCAGTCTTGCCAGTATAATGCACTGAGGAGTTTCCTTTCTCTAATTAGTTCTATGTCATTAGCCTTCCTTCTACTCCTAGGATAGATGAGATGCACAAAATAGCATAAGGTGATTTAGTTTCTTTTTATGTGCATCTAAGGAGCCATACTCTCACGTGTTTAGAAGAGTACTTTAAATTTTAAAAATGAGTTGGTAGAGAAAATGAGTAAGAATGTGCCCTGGGGAAGAATTCAAACATTTATTCTGCTGTTGTGGTTATGCTTTCGCTACGCGACACCTTAGCTCACAGCATCATTTCTTTGTTTCACTGGGGAAAGAATAACAACAGTGGCCCCTTTTTTAACTCACACACTTTAAAAAATATACCCAACATTAGAAAGCCGCTATGGTGAAATAGTTACTTTAGCTTGGTTTTTGGACTAGGATTCCTGTGTTCTAAAGTCTAGGAGGGAGGAATAATAGTCTGCTTCTGTGCTCTGGAGGCCTTGTACATTCTATAAAGAGCACGCTTATGGTAGATCTTACAATACTGAGTACTTATTGTAAATAAATTTTTAAGAGCATGGGCTTTTTTCTGTTTTGGGGGGCTGACACTGTTGCTGTTTGCCTCATTGTGCAGTGGCTTGCACTAGGCTGTGGCTGATGGGTGGCCTGGTTGTGGCTGAGGTGGGCAGTGGTTCCCTAAGGTTTTAGGCCTCTCTGCTCAGCCAAAACTGCTTTGCATCAGTTGGAGTTTCTTGGCTCAGCTGTCTTCCTCAGGCATGTATGGGGGAGAAGAATGGAAGAGCATATGAACTGGTCTGGGAGCTGGAAGAGGAGCCTGGGCTCAGTGTTGCTGCCATTCCATCACTGAAATTCTCAAATGATCAAGAGGCAGCACTTCATTACAAAGTGGTTAATCATTTGACAATGATGGTTCCTGCATTCTTAGAAAAGGAATTGTCTTATGTCATCTTCCGGTCTGATTCTGTGTAACAGTTGCTAGTGAAGCTATATGACATGCACTTGCCTTCCAGTCTTAGGAGCTTTTAGATAGCTTAATTATTTAAGGTATTTTCCTTCTCAAGGGAGAAAAACAAATGAGAGAAATGTGCTGAGATAAAGAATTAGGTCAACTCTCTTCCACTAGTAAACAAATGAACAGCAGTGACCAAAAAATAGAAGTAAGTAATTTCTATTGATGTTAATTTCTACCAGTAGATAATTCCTACTAATCAAATGTGATGTCCTGGAGCCTGCCTACAGAGCACTTTGATGGGATAGCTTATAATGATATCATGGATAGAAACTGGACCGTAATTGCTCCATCTGTCCTCTAAGAAAATGTCACTGTTCTGCAGGAAATGCCAAAGCAACAATTTCTATATACACACGCACACGTGTGCCATTTTATTCATTAAATAACAAAGTGAAATGTAACACAGATAGCTACTGTAAGTATTAATGCCCTTCCATAAACAAACCAAAACACAAATGAAGTATTTCTATTGCTGTTGTTTCTAGTGGTTATGTTTTCTTCCATTGGTAAACCATGTGTATGCATCAATATATTGTTGTTCAGGAATGGCTCTTGGCTCTGCTGCTTGTTCAGAGTAGTGGGGCTTTTCATCATGGTGAGATGTACCAGCTTTGGGGACAAGTTTAGCTGCAAGAGATCTTAAAAAAACTTGAGTCCTTTAGGACTGGGCTATTGCCAAGGGTCTGCTTAATTCGAATTACGAATTTCATTCTGTATGGTTTGGGTCTTTTGAATGGATTTCTCAGTGTTTGAAGGAATTTGCCTTGTGTTTTGAGTTTCAGTTTTTGGGTAGCATAGACAAACACATGAACACACACGTGTATTTAATTCTTAAAGTTTTCTTTCATGCTGATATCTGAGATTAGATTTCACTCTTCTGTCATTTGAGAAAACTTTTTTTTCTTTGTTTTGCTGCTGTTAAAACTGGGACTGGTCAATATGAATCATTAGTGTCTAATTGTTCATGTGGCATATCCACGAAGAACCGTAAGTGGTGTAACTGCTTCATTTGCTTTAACTCTGTCTTGCAGAGTGCCAAAGTGCTTGCAAAGAAGGAGCTCTCCTACATGCCCATCATTGGCTGGATGTGGTATTTCCTAGAGATAGTCTTCTGCAAGCGTAAGTGGGAGGAAGATCGGAAAACAGTCGTACAGAAGTTGCTGAATCTCCGGGACTACCCTGAAAACTTTTGGGTGAGTGATGACTAACAAGTGGAGTGTAAAGTGCTGTAGTGCTTGGAGTAGTATGAAGGGCATAGACAATATGTGACAGTCACCAGGTTGCTCCTGAGAACTCTGATTCATAAGCTTCCTGGCAGTATCAGGAGAGTGTTCTCTAAGAATTGAATTTTCTGTGTAATAGTCTGTCTTGTCTGTTTTCTTCTTCTGTAGTATGGAGCCCTACAGATGTTATTGCAAAAATACCTCCACTGCAGTCGTTCAGTAAACTTTGTAGTCCTCCAAGTACAGGAGCTTGTAGGGGTTCATGGCAGTGTATCAGATGCATGCAACAATGTTGTATTGAAACACATTAGCTGTATTCTTTACCTAAGCTTGCGTCTCACCTTAGATTGCAGAGTTCAAACTATTATCTTCTTTTTCCATTTCCCTGTGATTCTTCCATTCCTGTGAAGGTGGTAGGTCAGACATGGCCCAGTAGAAGTGGAAGCCACAGATAAGTACCTGTCAGAGAAGTGACCTTTGGGACCGTTGGCTGTGTTACAAGGAGAGGATTTGGGTCACCTTTCAGTAACAGAAAAGTGCTGTGTTTTGCATCACCATTTTTTAGCATGGAGCCTGTCTGGCATTTCCTAGTTCTAGAGGGAATGAAAAGCCTTTGAATTTTTTCACTTCTTGGTATTCAGAAAAATCCTTCTTCTTGTGAGCTGGATAGTGAGAGAGGGGTTTGGTTAAGGAAATAGTATCTTAAGCAGCTTTACAAGGGCCTACAGAAACTATTGCTTAAGAAGCAGTTTCCTAGTGAAGACAGAGATATTCTGTCTTTCATTCTGTGAAACGAAACCTTTTTTGGGTTTTGTTTTCCTTCTTTTTTTTTTTTTTAAATTGTCATTGATTTAGATGAGCACTAAGCAACCGAAACACAGCTCTGTGCTTCCATTAACGATTAAGTGACTTCCAGGCAGGAGGCTGTTCAGCAAAGGGACGATTCTTAGTTTCTAGTTCCAATCTTTCTCAGAGGGAGAGAACTCACAAAGCCTGTGCTCTGTGACTCTTCAAAGGTGTGAATGCCCATCTGCACACCTAGGCAGTTCAGTTCTAATTGGTGAGCACAAACTGCTATCATTCTTTATATACTGTTGTAGAGGGATTACTAAGAAGGAGCTGTATCTGTAATGAGAGACGTACAGTTGTTAATGTACATCTGGTGTTATTGCAGTGTGTAGATATAATTTGCCTTTGTATGGTGACATAATGTCAAAATGCACAGCAATAGCACCTGGGAAGGTAGAAAGAGCAGAAGGATTTTCTCATCAGTTTCTGTATGTTTCATCTGGCTGTTTAACATTATGCATGTGATGCATGAGTAAAAATGCTCTTTTACTGATGAACTGGAACTGAAGCTGGCTGCTTGGCTAGTTTTTTTAAGTCTTTCTTTGTTGGCTAAATCTTTGCTGTGGGTTATGAAGACTTAGCTTCTGCAATTTGGCAGTGCTGTCTGACATGTTAGTTTACATTCAGGCTTGGCAGAAAGCAGATGAGCAAGTGGTTAATCTCCAAAGATCTGTCTGTTCTTCTCCCCTGCCTGCCAGTGGCAAAATTACAATTGTTCATGTCTGAGCACTTCCACTCATAAGGGGATGGGGCTTTCAGCTGTCCTGCATCTACTGCCATGCATCTCTTAACAGTTCTGTCGCTGGCATCATAGTTACTGTCTGCAGTTGTCAGCAGTCCTGATGCCATAGTGACAGCAAGCAGGTTGAAGTGAGGGAAAGCAAGCAGGTTGAAGTGAGGGAAAGCAAGCAGGTTGAAGTGAGGGAAAGCAAGCAGGTTGAAGTGAGGGAAAGCAAGCAGGTTGAAGTGAGGGAAAGCAAGCAGGTTGAAGTGATGGGAAGCAAGCTGGGCACTGAAGCATTTCTTAGAAATGTTTGGTTTAGACAGTTACCAAGGTTTAGATACCATGGCACTCAAACTCTACACCGTCAGTGAGAGATTTGCAACAGGAGGTATGTTTTGAGTGTTTTCTAATCTCTTATTAAAGATGGAGTGACTCATTTAGAGAAATCAAGTCGTTCTGATAGCAAGTAGCAGAGCAGATGTTAAAGCCTAAAGGCTGGAGTTTAAACCAGAGGATGGCAAGTTGGGTGGGTGGGGGCAGCTGAGGCTCCAGGGCAATTAAATCGGCTAAATGTGTATTTGGCTAGAGGTGTCCCTGCTAGCAGTGTTCATTTGGGCTGTGTTAGTGAGAATTAGAGGCTCCTCTGGTCAGACAGATGCAGAAGATGTGAGCTGCTGTTTAACTGTAGTTCTCTCTTGGTTTTAGTTCCTAATTCATTGCGAGGGCACAAGGTTCACAGAACAGAAGCACCAGATTAGCATGCAGGTAGCTGAAGCCAAAGGCCTGCCCAAGCTCAAATACCACCTGCTGCCACGAACAAAAGGATTTGCAGTCACCGTGCAGTGTTTGAGAAATGTAGGTAAGGAAAGTCACACGGAACAATCCTAAATGGTTATTTCATGTAACTGCTGTCACTTTGCTCTTCTTTTCCCTGCAGCATGTGTCATAACAGAAAAGCCCTGGGAGCCTTTCTGACTTTTCTTCCACTAGCCTGCAAAAATTAAAGATTAGGTTTTACTAACAAAGTCCTGGGGCACCTTGGTGGTTTTTTTGGTTGTTGTGTTGGGTTTTTTTTTGTGTGTGGCTTTTGTTGTTGTTGTGGTTTGGTTGTTTTGGGGGGGTTTGTGTGTTGGTTTTTTTGTTGGGGCTTTGGTTTTTTTTTGGTTTGGTTTGGGATTTTTTTTCCCTGTTTTTGTTTTGGTTTCTGTTACTGTGACTCTCTATTGGGGGATCTCAGGTTGCGTATTTTGTACCTCTTGTCAAAGGGCAGTATTTCTTAGTATTTACTAAGCAATCCTGTTCTAAATGAAGCTAACCCATCACTAGAGAATCTGAGGCAGTGTGTCTTAAATATTCTCTTCTGGTAAATGTCTGCCTCAGCACCCTTTTAAAATCAAAACCTATTCTGCTTTAAATTTCTGTATAGATGTATGCTTTAGTTTCTTTGTGGAGCTGGGTAATAAAAATTACTTGCACTTGCCAGCTCTAAAGTAACATCAGTAAGAACATGGCACACATACCTTTGAAGTGATTTTCTTTGACTAATAAAATCCACCGAAGTCTTCTGCTGTATACTTCATGGGCAAAGGAAAGACAGTGCTAATTAGCCATAGTGCTACAGTATCTTTGGGGTTTGGTAGATTTGTGTGTTGCTTAGAAGGCTTATATGTAAGAAAGACAAAGTGGTCAGTGGTTTAGAAGAGAATGTTCTAGTTTGACGGAAGTTAATGTCAAAACCTCTTGTCTTTGAAGACATGTTTTCATGTGGCATATCTGGGATAGCTGCTTTAAAAAAAAAAAAAGAAGCTTTGAAGTCAGCTGTCTTGCTCTCTGTTATTTTAATTCTACATGTCCTCTTGCAAGTCAGGTAGATGGTATCACTATTGTAGCTTGTTAGGCATCCACAACTTCCCATCCCCAGAATGGGTAGCATAGATTGGATCTTTTCTGATATGTGGAAAAGAGGTAAGTTATTTGCAGCATCCAGCAATGCCCTTAGGGGCACAGTTTAACCTTCCCTTCTGAATATAGGTGACTTGTTTTGCTGAGGGTGGAGGGAGGTAGACTTAAGACACTGAAGAAGAGCTGAGTCAAAACTCTGTGACCTTCAGTGCCTGAGCTGGGAATCAGGGACAGGTTATTTTGGTGCTTTGTTTCTTTTCACTACTGTTAGTAAAGCAAGCAAACTTGGTATGATTGTGGACAAGTAGTTGATTCATGGGAAAATATTTCAAAAGGAAACATTTTTAAAGAACATGAGTGACCTTTATAAAAAGTTTTGGGCATTCATGTGATACACTACAGTAAAGCTTCTTAGGATCCTGAATATTTGAAATACCTTCAGAAAAAAAAAAGCCTGACATTTCTGGGTTACTTACATCCTTAGAGAAGTGTATGTAGCTATCTCAATCCAGAAGCTGTGACTTGCTAGATCAAACAGGGTACAGCTAGTAAGGTGGAGGGTTCAAGGAGAAGCACAGAGTCATAGCTTCTCACAGTTTTTGTTGAAAAAACATACCTGAGGGACACAGCTGATGACCCCAGACTGGTGTTGCAGAATCTACTAGGTATGTTGCTTTATTTGCCTTGCCACTTTTTGCAATGAGGGTGAGATAATAAGAGCTACTGTGTGGGTTACAATAATGTTTGTCTTCTTTAGAGACAAGGGGTACATGTGAAGAGTATTTGCAAGTCCTTTGTAAACAGAGCTCCTTATAACATTCATATGTACAGGTAACAAGGAAGTCCAGAAATGTTTTTTGAATAGAGAGTATGATGAAAGTCTGTTTTGAAAGTCCATAATCTAGAAATGTAAGTTCTGTCTAGAAATTGCTCCTTTCTTGCATGTATACTGATAAGGTTTGACCGCTTATCTCTGTTAACCTGCATGGACATTTAATGCCCACATTATAAGAGGTCACATGCAGGTGTCAATATATGCAGAGGCTGTATGCTGTAATAATTTGGGCAGATTTTTGTTTTGAGTATTTACCTTGTACAAAGTACTCTTTGACTTGTTCACTGTAAATCCCCTAAGTTTTATTGTTATGCTCTGTCGTATAATGCAGACCTGCCAGTGACTGTATCCCTCTATTACAGCTTCAAATTACTTCTAACAAACAGCATTGGTGTGACTGCTGAATTGCTGTTCTGCAGAAGCAGCAATGGCAACAAGCAGACGTTCATAACTTTAGTTCAGTGACATGACTAGTGACCTACAAGAGTAACTCTTGCAGGCTGACCTATCCTGTGTGGCGCTATTCACACCCATTTTGGTAGCCAGGTCTGCAGTGGGGTATTCCTACTTGTCTCTGAAAGTGTGAGAATGGGGCTGAGTGCTGGCTGAGCCTATTCTGGGGCCTCCCACTTAAGCTAATGCACTTCTGCTATTCCACAAGGGGTGGTGGGCCTGGCTGGAATGCCTCACTAAGGGAGATAGCTGCAGTGTGACATAGCATTGAAGGCAAACCAAATGGTTTGGATCCAGTTCCAAGCTGAGTGTGACAAAGAGGTCAGCATTTCCTTTTCCTCAGTTATTTGTTCCTCCTTTCTGACAAGGGTGTGATTCAACCTGTGAGGCTTTAGTACGATAGGATGTATGGATGCTGGTTTCTGTGGCTGTAGCTGTAATTCAAGCACAAAATGGTCTTTTTCAAAACTTTGTGTCAACTCTTGGTGCTACCTGATGCACTAGTTCTGTATGTTGGAAACCGGCATTGGTGAAAATCTGACAAGTCCATCTGTTTTGAAAAACTTAGCTTCAGAAGGAGTTTAATGTGCATACATGGGAAACTGCTTCCATATTGTCAGAATAACCGCAAGATAAAAATATCTTTCACACAAAATAACAAGAAAAGGACCTTCCCTCATAACTAATTTCTTTTATAAGTGATAATGGAATTCTTTTCTCTTCAGAGACTTACTTTCACAAATTCAGATCTCTTCACACAGTTTGATTCTTAAAGGAGTGCTCTTAATAGTTTTTTTGAACTTGTTTTGATGTTTTTATCAGTGACCATCTCTACTGGTTTGTTAGTACAGACACAGTCCCCAAGAACTTCATTTCTAGAAGCTGTTTGCTGTCTTAATAACTTGGTGTTAGGTTTCAGAGTTTGCTGCCTATACTGTTCATGGAAGCAAATGAAAATACAGATCTGTTTCTAAAACTCTCATCCATTACTTATATTAAAAATAAATGTCATAAATATTGCAGAAGATATATTTAACTGTTACTTTTATTGCCTGGCTGTATATCAGGCAGTTCCTTTCAGCTGTTTTTATTTAGTTAAGATGTGTATTTAAAAATGTGCCTCATGATGGGTTGTAGATAACTCCAACTTGCCAACCTTTTCCTCCAATTGTGTCTGCTGGGAACTACTGTTCAAGAGGCAACGTGTGAGAATAAATTCCAGGATGATGTGCACGTGTAGTTCAATATGACAGTGTTTGGGGGTTTTGCAATGATGGTTTTTTTATCCCGTGAACTGCACTTTAGTCCTGGATTTCTTTTTTGATCTTTACTGAGGCTCCTGGTCATCCTCCTGAGCAAGGTACCAAGTTTAAGAGGATGAGTGATTTTTGACCAAGAGCTTAAATGTTGGAGGATTGTGTCAAGGTGACTGTTGTACCAGCAGCACAGTGAATTCCACTGTCTCTTCCTCTCTCTTTCCAAACAGTCTTCACTTCAGATAATGAGGGGCTAGTATGAATCTGTGGGCATACTTGTTGCCCATTTGTCAGATGATTGTACTGGCATAATCCACCATGCCCACAAAATAATGTATGAAATTCAAGAGGACAGATGAAGTAAGAAAAATCCTCTCCAGAGAGTTAATTTCATGGGTTGAAATTCAGAAATTAAGTCTTAAATTCTCAGATAACTAGCTCTCTGTCAGAATGCTGTACGAGGAACCAAAAGTTGAAGATATATTAAAAAAAAAAACAACCTGGACAGAGATTAGAAAACAGAACAAAAACCCCAGCCTTTTTTGTCAGAAAATAGCAGTTTAGCTGGAAAAATGTTGTTTTCAGTTAGGATCTGTTCCGAGCCTTTGAAAAGGCTTCCAAATGCTGAACTGTGTTTGGATTTTAATTAAAAAGATGCTTCAAGATAACTTATTTGAGAAGGCATTTGGTTTTGCAATTGAAACAAAACTTTTCCAACACGGTCTAAATTAGTCTGAGAGTGAGACAGTTGTGATGCTGTCAAGGTACTGTAGAGTTGGGTTTTTTACTTGGTTTAGAGCGTGAAATTTCTGGACTCTTCAGCTTTCAGACGAGACAGTCATGAGATACGCACTTCTAATTATGTAATTATGAATTACACATTTAATGAAAAACAACCCCAGTGTGTCACACAGCATGCTAGTTCTGCTTTGGCTGTGGAGGCTTTCTGGCAGGTTTTAATTCCATTCAGTCTTTTTCTTTGATATGTCTAATGTTGTTCTTCTGCACTTACAAAATGGAAAATTTAAGTCTTAATTTGTTTTCTATCTGGATATGACAGAGGTCTGTTTTCTCCTGCATATGCTATCATTGTCTTGGATTTAGCACTTCGTCGCACCAAAAGATTTCAGTGCGATGTTAAAAAAGGACTGAACTGAATATCAAACTACAGACTAGTTAAAATCTGGATTGGATTTTTGTTTGGTTTTTTTTTGCCTTGGAGTGAAGAAAAACTCTGTGTTATGTTATCAGCACATACAGATGTTCCTGAACAATTCTGCAGGAGTTTTTCAGAAAAAGAGAAGCATCTTCCAGTATGTCTGAACAAGCACCCAATCCATATAAAAACTCAAATGCAGATGTCTTACAAGTCCTGTGTGCATCATATTTTCCCTTACTGCGTTCCTTTTGTCTAGAATAAACTCAGGCTATTAAAGAATAAACTGAGAAGCTTACCCTGTGTAAATCAAATTGTGCTCTTGTCTTCTTTCAATTACATAGGATTTGTAAATTAGAGTAGATTAGTAAAATCCTTCTACACTAAGCGGCTTAAAAATGGAGGGAGGTAGTTCATTCAAAATACAGTTTACTACTTACATTGCACAGCAAGAGCAGTGTGCTCAAAGTAGATTTTCACTTACATGTTGTAGTTTTGAGTTTGGGCTAAAAACCCAGCTGTAGTAGAAAAAGAGTAGAGTTGTTAATGAAGGGTACAGTCTGCATCAGCAACAGTGTTTTGGCCTCTGCTTTCAGGATTTCCGTGCAAAGCTGAAGCCAGGCTGTTCTGTTTTGGGCTATGAATTCTGTTTTGCAATAACAAATGATGTGGTGAGTTTCTGGGGGTAAATGTTGTGACCAAGCTATATTTATCTCTTGTAGCTAAAGAGGTTTCAAAATGAAAAGCAAATCTGTCTAATAAAAGGCTTTCCTAGGTGGGTCAGGAGCTCTCACAATAGTTCATCTATCTCAGTGTTTGTTATTGTAAAACTTCAGAGCAGAAAACCTCAAATGTAGCAGGCTACGTGTGAAGTGTATGTTAGTTGCTTTTGTGATCAAAAATAAATAAATCAAAGTTTTGTGGCTGGCATTGATTGTAGTGTTAATGCCACGATACGCAATTGGTTTCAGTGTCAAGAGAATGAATTGCTATCTAGTAATTTTGTGACATCAGGAAAACAGTGTCTCTCAGGATGTCTTCAGAGAAACTTGTTTGAAATACTTTATGTGGTTTAAAACAGTGAACACTTTTTCTGTAGAAACTACTTGTTAATGTTGCCTAGTTAAACTACAAACAACCATTGCAAGTACTTTTACTGTTACACGCAGTCCTGAAATGCAGAAGTTGTTTCCTCAAGGCTTAAAGCTTGGTTATAGTTTTGTTCTGTGAAACTTGTATGTTATATCCCTCACTGCTGCACGTCTTCATAGCAGCAGCCCAGCTCACACAGGATGTGGTCTGTTACTGTGTCTCTGCCTTTGCTGTATAGTAAGTGCCTCAGTTATCAAGTAATGAACATGAAGGCGAGGTTGTTTTGAGCCGCTGTGATTCATAGTTGCATTAAGCCTTCTTGCTGTGGGATGTGGCTCACGCACTTTACCCATTCTTTGTCAATATTAAAGTGTGTATCTGCCTGGTTATTTACGCAGATTTGGAGGGGAGTTGTGTCATTCACAGTGAGTTGAGAATGCTAGTAGTTTTTAAGCCATTTGGTTCGTAGGATGTCCTAGGTATATTAACTGACAGAAACTGTAACTGTGCTCCCTGTGTCCCAACATCCTGCACCTGATGGTAGACAAGGGTGGAGAGGAAACCTTTCTATTCTACTGGAGCAGTTCTTGAAAGAGTCGCTGGTTATTTGGCTTCATAAAAACTGCATGTTGAATATTCCATTGTCATTGCTTTGGTAACAGCTCAAACTATGGTGCTATTGCTAATGACTTCATATTTAAATATGCTTCTTGCCTGAGAGAGAATGACTTATTTCCATTCTACAGTAATAACATAACCTGTTTCTCTTCTTGTAGTTTCTGCAGTGTATGATTCTACCCTCAATTTTAGAAATAATGAGAATCCAACATTGCTGGGAGTTCTGAATGGAAAGAAATATCATGCAGATTTATATGTAAGGCAAGTAATCCATATTTTAATTCCTTTTTGCCATACAGGAGTGTGTGCTTGCAATCACAATTCCACAAATAAGGGAAGTATTTTTGAGTGGGTAATGGATAGCAAATCTCTACCAACCTGGCTTCACACAACTGCAGATAAAACCTCATATGGGATAGGAAGGGTTTCCTGTAAAGTACTGTGACTGTAAGTATGTGGGGACCCTGTGAATGTCTGCAGGATTTTTTTGTTATTTTCTTATTCACTTTTGTGTCTTTTTGTCAGCTCATCAGCAACAGTGGGGCCTCTTTTCACTCACTTGGCCAGAATACCAAATACCTAAGTATTCAGATGGAGTGGCTTTGCACCTGTCTGCCACAACAGCTCCCACTCAGGTGGAGGTCAGGCTCAGGACTGTTCCTATCTCTGCTTGATGTAGTTGTTAATGTATTTGACTGCTGTTCCCTCCCTTCCAAGAAGGGCTTTTTTTAATGAAAAGAAAATTACCTGGATTCTGTATCATAAATGTTTATATAAGTGATGAATACCCCAACAGTTTCCCATAATTCTCATGGAAAAGGGCCAGTTTCAAAGCCCTTATTCCCATGCTAGGTTCTACCAGCAGCACCCATGCTGCAGGCCCTCAGGTTATGTGATGGTTTAGGGTTTGAGCATAGGAGCCTAGAAGTGATCCCACAAGTTCATCATAACTCCTTTATAGCTATAATCGGCTAGTCCAACTGTTTTATCTTGGCTACCAACGTCAAGCGGAGTAGGGTGATCTTTTCTTCTTCTGCCTGTTTGAAAAAAAAGACATTTTCTTCAGAACCGTTTTCCCAAGGGTAAAAGGAAATTTTCTTTTGATTCCTTATGGATGCAACATGAAGTTGCATCCCCACTTGGGTCTCATAGGTAGATCAGCCTAGTAGCCTTTTGTTTGGTGTACATGGCCTGGCTGGCCATGTGTTCATGGCGAAGTAACTGGCCCTACCTGCCTGGGCCATTCCTCCAACATTGCAGAGGTGTGCATCGTACTATGTCTCCCTTTACACCCTTCCAGCCTGCTGCAAGTCAGTCTGGCAGAGCATGGAAATTGCTGTTCACAACTCAGGTCAGCTATTTGCTCTTCTGCCCTTTTGAGCTTCCTGAAAAGCTCTTACAGACATGGTAAATGGTAAACCTCATGGCAAAATTTGTTTTGGCAATTAATTGGGGCCCATTAGGGATGCTCTTCAAAGTCTCCATATTTGCTTATTGAAGTGCTGCAGGTGTTGCACTCTGGAGAAGTTTGCAAAATTTGGATGCTCTTGTTAGTCTCTGCTTAAAATGTGTTGACATCTGATGTTTGTCATCTTATGACTTTCTTAAATAAAGGAACAAACCAATATTATTATACCTCTTAGTTTATTAACTGCAAACAGGAGTGTCCTGACTGTAAAAGAGCTGTCTCCTGTGCTGAAGGAGGTTAATTTGATGTTGCTCTTAATGGATATTAGTTACTATATATGCTATATTGAAAAATGTGAAATTGTTAAGTATTGCTATTAGCATACCTAAATGAGGATGACAAGGGGATTTTTTTTCTGTTGCAGGATTAGTGACCAAAATTCATGTAATGTGATGAAATCTTTGTTTTGTCAAGAGAGGGTTTTTCAGTGATAGGAGCTGTTTTGCTGGAAATTTTCCAACCAAGCTGTACGTAACAAAAATTATAAGAACGGGAAATGTTAGTACTAGATTGCTTTAACCTAGGTATAAGAATAGTTTGGTTTTAATCCCTGATACCTATCTGATTAAACACGGCCTTGAACCCCACAGGTGGGGTAAGAAATTAATTAATTCACAACCTTTGTTTGGAAGCAGAAAATTGCAAACCTTTACCTGGAAGGTGCTCTAGTGAGCTCAGACATATGCATTACTGTTTCAGAAATCTAAATCTCTCAATTTCAGATACATCTGAAAACTGAACGTTTCTAGAAGTAAACTGTGCTTTGATGATCTGGAAGCAGTTACCACAGATTAAAAAAAGGTGGAATATGGAGTTGAGTCTACTGTCAGTTCAATAATCTGTGTAATGTTAAGTGCTGTTCATGGGAGCCAAGGTATTTAATATTCTTCAATTTCTCTTGTTTACCACTGGCAGGCGGATTCCACTAGAGGAAGTCCCAGAAGATGAGCAGGAATGTTCTAACTGGCTTCACAAGCTGTATCAAGAAAAGGTTGGTTTTTTGTCTAGACAGCATTTGTGAGCCACTCGTACTCAATTGTTTGTACTGCTGGTGTACGTGTGTGGTGGTCCTGCTTTAGGGGGTTTGGGCTAGTTTGTTTGTTTTTCAGGAGAAGTGCTCCATTTCTCCAGGCAAACTGGTCTTGTGCTGTCAGTCATGGTTGCTTTTATTTTGCAACAGAAAGAGCAACAGAAAGAAAACTTAAGCAAGCCTTTATAGAACAGTTTTAAAACTCTTCTTTAGAAAGTTGCATTAGGATACATAAAACCGCAACTACCTCCTGGTTGGTAGAAGGCCTCCCTTTCACTGAAAGGCACCTCCTAAATCAAGAAGTAATTTCTGGGATAAATGAGGTATATTTTGCTTTAGTGTATTACAATTTTTGTCCCTTGTTTTTCCCTTTTCTTTTTTGCCAAAGCAAAGCTTCAACAGTAATAGGACAGGCTGATAAATTGCTTTCACGTTGTGTGCGTAGAAGGCATGCATCTAAGATTCCTAATTACATAAGATGGGGGCAGAATAATAATGACTGTGTGTTTGTAGATGCTGCTGATTTTGATTTTTATTTTCCAAATACTTCCATATGCATTATTCAGACTTTCAGAATCTGTTTCTCATGGCTTTTGTTTTTATGAACATAGGAGATAATGGTTGAGGGATGCACTCTTTGAATAGATGCAGCAGTCCCATTTCAGTCAGTGGGAGTCATAGGTATGCAAGGCATGAGGGCCTGGCAGATCCATTTGTTTCAATAAATTGATCTAACTTATGTATTCAGACTGGAATACAGCAGTGCTTTGGATTTAGAAAAGATAGAATATAGCTACTCTGGTTTCCTCTCACTGGGGCGGCAAGGTTTCTGCTGTGCTGTTTGCTGTACTCTACACAGAACACCATGTTAGCTGGATGTTGCGAAAAGTCCACTTTCTGCTACTGTAAGTTGATCTGTAACTCTGCTTCATTTTCCAGAGAATTGTTTAGACCTTTGCAAGACAAGAGCATATCAGATGAGAATGTGGTTATTGTTTTCCTAAGTCCCTTATTACATAGTTTGCAGTAATTACTTTCAAGTTTTTTCTATTATTCCCTTTTTGGTGAACACTCAGTTATTTCTAGTACAGAGGGTTCAACTGTCCTGCATTCTTCATAAAAACTGTTTGCTGATTGGTTAAATCCGTAATTTCCTATTTAATATAGGAGGAAGGAATGTGTGTTCAGTTTTCCTCTCCATTAAAACCTTTTTAGATGTGGCATTTTTTTTAATGCTTAGGGTTTTTTTTGTTTGATGGTTTTGTTTGTTGTTTCTTTTTTCTGAAGGTGGTATGTTCCTCTTCAGCTGTTTTGCATTAGTGAAACTGTTACTTCATTGCAGTCATTCCCGCTCTGTGCAAGCCCATGTCTCTGTAAAATCAGACTGGGAGAATGTAGAGCAGGGACAACTTCATCAAAAGTTCCAAGAGTATGAAAGCCTATCTGCAGGGTAATACTGCAATTCTGTTTCACCTTTCTGCCATGCATCTCTAAAAAGATAATTGGTCTTAGGTTGGATAGCAAGCAGCATTGCCACCTACATGTTGTTTCCAAAAATGAAATCTGTTTCAGGCTAATGTCTTCAGAGTCAGTAAATATTTGTGATAAAATGTAACAAAGCTGTCTTCAAAGGGCAGTAATTAATTACAACATACACACTCATCCCCTGCTTTGTGTATTTTTGTTGTAACACTCCATTTGCTGTCTCAAAGTAAGGTAAGTATGCATACTACTGAAAAACAGCCCGTTTTATCTTGCATTATGGATGCATGAACCACTGCTTATTCTCAGTGGGTTTTATAATTTTCCAGTACCTTCTCAAGACTTGCATACTGTGTGCTGAGTTATGCTCTAGTAGCACGATTTAGTAGCAGGATTGTGCCAAAGGCAGGGAGGTCAAGGCTGGAGTGCTGTGTACTTGTGGTGACAGGGCCACGATGCTGTTTGAATGAGTAATGAAATCAGCAGTTTAGTGGACATGAAGGGACATTACTTTTATTTTTTTTAAACTATCATGACTAAAGGAGTGAGAGTCTGAGTAAAGCTTGTTCTGTTGGTTTTACCTCATTGCCTGATCTCAGTTGCATGTACCTCTGAGATGCTGCTCTGGGAATCTGGTGTGTTTATGTCCTTGCTACTTACCTTCAATTTCTGCTTTAGCCACTGACGAAAATGTAGTGAGCAAGGGCTTTGCCGGGTAACAGTGGTACTGTGCTGTTCTAAACCAAACACGTCCATGTACTTCTTCCTCACCTTGGGTGAATTTTGTAATTTTTCCTTCCACAGATGGCCAGCACTGTATCAGTTAATGCCAGATTATGACAGAGGTGCGATTTGAGTTGCACATTGCCTTTTCTTGGGGTTTTATTCCTTTTAATGTTGTTTTTTTGAGCTGCCATTGTTAGAAAGATTCCCTTTGTAACAAGGACCAGGCTGAGCATCTTAGTGCCTCCTCTGAAGAGGTACTGTATAATAGCCACAACCTGGCAAGCCCTTGCATGTTTGTTTTCTTTTTTTCACCTCCTTTCAACCTCAGCACCTGAAATAGAAGTTCTGCTTGAGAACCTTCATTTCCATTAAAAAGAAATCGAGCTTCTAAACTCTTCTCACTTGTAAAAGAAGCATAGAAAGCAGGGCATGAAAATATATTCTGAAATGCCCCAGGGAACTAGCAAAGCACGACTGAAGAGGGGAAGTGCACAGAATGCCTGTGTTTGGGAACAAAGGATGTATTTTTGGATACTGCATTCTTTATGGGCTTCCCCATGAAAGACCAGAGGCATACCTCTGCAGTCAGACCTCCCTGGTGGGAGCGGGGTTGAAGAATCCAGATAGCTTATCACAAGGTGATGTATGTTTCTCAGTTTCCCCACACCTGCCTTACACACCTCACTGTCTGAAGTTAACACAGATTTGGTGGGGGCGTTAGAGTGAGCATGTTTTGATGTCCAGATATGGTACTTGGTTAGTTGGGGTTTATCACAAACTGAAAACAAGTTCTGTGTGCAGAAATTAAATGAACTTGATGTGGGCAAGGTGACTGAGGGAAATTTTGAGATCCATCATGGGTTTAAATGCTGACTTGAGCTGTTGATGGGAACCATAGGCATTCTTGCAACAGCTTAGAAGACTGATCAACTCACAGATCTCTTCTGCGAAAAATAGGAATGTTTTTAAGGGTAAGAAATCATAACTGAATTGAAGAGCTATTCGCCACAATGTAAAACGTGTAGCGGAGGTGATGGCACTGACGTTATTTTGCCCCTGCCTCAAACCTCTTGGTGAGATGTGTCAATGGTTTTGTTGTTTCTAATCCTGCACAGAGCCAAGAAAGAAAACTGCTGCTTGTTTGAAGCTAGACTCCCTGGCTCTCTGTAGTAATAGGCCCCCTGATGGTGATACCAATAATAGTTGGAAGTTCTTAACTTTCCTGGGAAATACTGGTGTTTAGAAACCTAATTGTATAAAGTAAAATTTAATTTACTGATGATTAGTAGCTCTGTGTTAAACCACTCATAGACCAAAATCCTCTGTAGGCACTGTAAAGAAAACTTCATACACTGTAATTTATTGAAGGCAGCTAATTAATGTGCCATAGTGATCCCACTATAGTCTAGCTCACATGTACAAAACACTCATAATCTTTCTAATCTCAAAAAAAGACAGTGCAATGCTTTAATTACTGTGTAATCTCTTAAAAGCTGAATGTTCCCTTTGAAATAGATAAAATGGTAGCAGACTGTAATTGCTCAAGTTGCCATTAAATAAGTACAGAATTGTCAGCTGGAGTGTAAGTAAATGTAAAATCATAGCACAGTAGAAATAATCTTATGGTTGATTAAGGGAATCTTGGCTTTACCAGAATTTTTGGAAACTTGTGAAATACTCCTTTCTTTGAAGAAATTTAATACTTCAGTCTGACTAAATTGAGATTCCTTTTTATGTCTGTCTAATTCTGAATTCATTAATTAACCAGTTTTATTTGATAACACAGATTAATAATGTTTGCTTTTGAACCAGTAGGAAGTTTTTTGCCCCACCTACTCTGGTATCTTGTATTGATCACATCACTGAAGGCATTGCTGTTCACCCATACAGCCTCTAGAGGAGGATACTCAATTCTGTATTCTGTGCTTTAAAGAGCATGCACCACAATACAAAAAAAAACCAAACCATGCCCTATTATCTTCCTCATATTGTATCAAAAGGGACAGTCCTTTCAGTCAAAAACAGTGAGAGATTCTAACCTGTTTGCATGCTCAAGTGTCTGTAGAGAGGTGCAACACCCACATTTTCTTCCCATAAGCTTCATGGGAACAAGATGAACAACACTACGTCTATGGGACAAAGCAGACAGGAGAGGGTGATATTCTTTGGAGTATGGGACAAAATGGTGCGTGCTCACTTTTCTGACAGGGGTGCGGATGCTGTTTTAGAGCAGTGGTTGGAGAAAACATTATCAAACAGAGGGTCGGATGCAGAACATGTAGCTCAAAAGCCTTTCTGTCTTACTGACAGTGTTTGGCCAGGGGTTGTGGCTCTTGCAGGAGGTTCAAGGGTGATGTCTGCATTGCTGCAGGAGTGTACATCCTTCACCCTTCATGTTTTACTGGGCTTGTTATACTCTCCAGGCACACTACTTTTCAGTCTTCTTTGTGTAAGAGAAGGAAAAGATGTGCACATCAGTGTAAGCTCTTTTTTCTTGACTGTATGTTCATTGACTTTAAAGTACAAGCTTTCCAGCCATGATTTGGTCTTTGATCTGCCTCCTATAGTTACAAGCCCGCAAAAAAAGAGAAATATCAAAGTCAGGAATGGCTAGTTTTGTTGGCAAATGCGGATTTAATTGTTGCCCTCCTTTGTCCTACTAGGATGCATTCCAGGAAGAATATTACCGAACAGGAGCCTACCCAGAAGTCCCTATAGTACCACCCCGACGACCATGGACGCTTTTGAACTGGCTTTTCTGGGCCTTATTGCTGTTATATCCCTTATTCAAGCTGCTCATCAACATGATCAGCAGTGGATCATCACTGACACTGGCTAGTTTTGCATTTGTCATTGTAATGGGTAAGTTTTCTGAAAGATTACTTATAGAGTAACTGTTAGATAATTTACTGAGGCTTACTATATATAAATGTGTGAATTCAACAAACCAGCTGATACTATGTCAACTTTAGCCTGGAATAGGTTAAATAGATAATTTTTGTTTCTTTCTTTGTTTTTGAATAGTTGTATTATTTTTTTTTTAAAGCTGCATACAAAATTTTGTCTTCCTGTAGAAATCAACTCAATAACTTTCCAGTGGGTTGCCTACAAAAGGCTTTCTTTTCTTGTATTGTGTGTTGCTGGGTTGCACTTTGAATGCCTAGAAGAGGTGCTCAAGGATAATTTATTCTGCTGAGAATTCTTTCAGCTAATCGTAATCTGATATGTTGCCCACTGGAAATCCATGAATTTGTGACTTAAGGACAACCTGTTATAGCCATCTACTCTGACTTTATGTAGCAGCAGGACATAGACTATCACAGGTGACTCCTACAGTTCCTGTGGTAGTTCTGGACTGCCTTGGTTTGGGTTTAAACTAGTATGTTATTTAAGAGGTGGAAGGAAAACAAAATGAGGAGCTGACCAACAGAAAGGCAAGGAGGTCTTATTTGGTGTCTTTTCACAGAAGGAGGAACCAGGTCAGTTTGGCAAATTTTTTCATATCTGGGTGTCTGTGCTTTTTTGGTATATTGGGTGCTGTTTGAAGAGCAATTTCCAGAATAACCCATAGATTTATAAAGCAAATATTTTCTATGGCTGCACTGACCATCACATGTATTTATGGCTTCATCATCTTAATGCCTATGTATGCATTGCAAACATCCTTTGAAAAAGAAACAGAACTTCACAGTCCTTCTGGCTCTGGGTGAACTTGGATGCAGAGATATTAGAGTTGGCTTAAAAAGCCATGTCCAAAAGAGCAACACAAAGGAAATAGGAAAACATTGTGCATTTTCTTGTCTCAGAAATGCATCTTTGCTCTCTACCTAGGAGATTGTTCCTAACACATTATATTTCTTTGCATTCTCAGAAGTCTGAATCTTGAGCAGGTCCCATGCTAGTCTGCTCAGGGTGAATTACCTGCTGTCCCTTTGTCCATCTGTGAAGAGCTTGGTATGGTAGGCACACAGTATTCTTTTTCAGAAGGCGCCCACCAAATCAAACTCTACATAAGATATTGTGGAAGCTGTTTATAAAAATAATTGGAGGAGAAAGAATTTGTGTGTGTATACACACACAGGCAGTTTGCTTCATGATGCTTTGGACCAGAGGAAGGAAAACAAGAGCAAGTAACATAGTAGTTGGTACATTACTATGGTCAAAGTAGAGGGAAAAGGAGGGGAATCCTGTGCTGCTTTTCTCACCTGGAGAAATTGTTGGTGCTTTTTACCCTGGAAATGTTTTATGTAAAATCATAGAATCACAGACTGATTTGGGTTAGAGGGGACCTTAAAGATCACCTAGTTCTAATCCCCCTGCCATGGGCAGAGACACCTTCCACTAGACTAGGTTGCTCAAATGTGTAAGAATTTCTTGGAGCAGTAAAGCACCTTTTCACCCACTTGTACTCCCCGCCAACACACATGCCCCCCCCCTTCTCTGACCAGTGAATAGTGAAGAGTAAGCACCACGGTTGTGGTGTGCCCCTCAGGAACGGGCGATGTTAGATTCAGATCCCCTTCAGTTGCAGAGAAAGGTCAGTTGTCTCCCCTGTGCTCTAAGAAAAAATGGGTACACAGCAGTGGGCAGGATGAGGTATGACACCATTGCAAATACTACATCCCTGGCAACGGCACTCATATTACTAATATAAATAATATATATATTATATATAATGTATATTTTATATATATATACACAAAATATAAATACAAATTATATATAAATACAAATTACAAATTATAAATACAAACTGGCAAATAGGGCATTTGTTCTGCCTTTGGAAGGAATGCTGGCATAGTCTGTGTTTGGTACTTGGCTTTGGAATGATGGCCTAATGGGGCACTGAAGCTTAGCCACTGCAATTTTATTTTTATTTTCTCATCCTTCCTTCAGCATTTTCTTTTAATTCAGTTTCTCCACTCAGCAGGCTGGTTGTCTGGGTGCTGTTCCAAAGTGCCTTATGCCTTGTGTACCCTCCACAGGGAGCTTTGCTGCATAATTCGGGTTTCTGGATTGAAACCTCAGACCTGGATGCTTTAATGCTTGGCATTGTGGCATCTGTGATGTCTTTGGATATAGTCCTTATTAATTTAAGTGACACCACAACCCTCACCGCCCTCCCCCCTGCCCAAGTCCAATACCATCTTGCCACTAAGGACCCTTACAACTAGGTCACATCTTCTCTATCAGGAAGTGAAGGAAAGAACCTGTATTCTTTCCTTGTATTAGTCCCCACTTAGATTTTTTTCTGCTTCTAGACACAAGGAAAGATTAATAAGCAAGCTGCTATGAATCTTCTTTTGAATGCAGTGATAATCCAAATGACTAGTTTGCAGGTTATCAGTAACGCTGGAGCTAACAGAGAACTACAGCAGCAAGCAGTCTGCTGCCAGAATGAACATATGAGCTCCCAGGCTGCAAAAGCACAGCTAAAGAATGCAATAAGAATGGTGAGATTAATGGCCCACTGTGTGATGTGCATTGCTGCCCCATACATACCCGCCACATTTGTGGGATGGTGCAGGTCGCAGTCCTCCGCAACCTTTGGAAGACCTCTGTGCTTAGCAATAGCTCTGTTCTCACTCTGAATACCTGAATACCTGGTGTGATCAAACCCAAAGTGCTTGTAATTGGCCAGGATTTGCAGCACAGTGGAAGACACTGCACTGCTTGTAGTAGAGGCTTGTCACCTGATCAGACTCAGCCAGCCACCTCTTGCTTACAAGCAGATTAAGAAGAAAGATGCTGTTGTCACTTATTAGCAGATAGCAGCCACCGTGAAGCTGTGGAAGGAGGAAAATCTGTGTGAGTGGAAGGAAGCTCAGCCTTCAGTAAAAACAAGCAGAAAGCAGAGCTGGTTTGTCCTGGTCACTTAAAAGTGGGTATGTCATAACTTGCCAAAAGAGCAACAGTTCACTTGGTATGTTACAGTCTGTTCCTGTTTTATTGTATACCTTTAAAAGCAGTCCTAATGCATGGTTCTGAGTTACAGGCTGGGCTTAAACCACAACATGGTTGGGAATCATTGCTCTCTTTCTGTGGAAACATCTCAGAACTTCAACCCAAGCTGCCACATTGACATTTCTAGCCTATAGCTGAGTTTATGTAGCAAGGCCGTTCTCCCCAAACTGTGTTTTATATCCCAAGGCATATCTCTGTCATGAATGTCTTGGACCAGATGCAGCCACCTGCTGACAGAGGAGCAAACAGTATGTTATTTTGCAGTTTATCTCCAGCTTTAGGCAAGGTCTCAGAAGTGAATTCTGCAGTGGCTGGGCAGTAGAGGTACATGAACACAAATGCACCTTGGAGGTTGTGACTCTTGGTTTGTTGGGAGCTGGTTTGTAGGGAGCACTATACTCACTGTCCTTTCCAGGGTGAGCAGTAATTGGTACCTGGTGGCTTAACAGTGCAAAAGGAAGTTTTTTCTGTGAACCAGAGGAATTTATTTAGCATTGGGGTCAGATGATGAAAATGCTGTTTCACATTATTCTTAGCAGACTTCTTCCTGCAGTTTAACTGAAGCAGCACAGTTAGCATTTGGGATGTTGCTTTTTATATGGCAGTTTGACAGCTCACCTGATTACTCCAGGATCAGGAAGCTTACTGCAGTCCCTAATAGCCTATTATAAGTAGGCTGCTGTTTCTAGGAGCAGATTTCAGTACCTGATAACCTTTGTTATAGCACAAGATATGCATGCACCTCCTGTGATAGTGAAGAGGGGAGGAACTAGGAAGTCCTTTTATCTGGTACCCTCTACTTTGTTTCGAGAGTGACATTTGTCTTTTGGAAAGTGTTTGCCAGTTGTGCTCTCCAATAAAACACTGGACTTGTAAAATACCGGACTCCAGTAAAATAGTGTTACTTGTAAGTAATGGTGGTCAAGCTGGAGTGAAAGCACTGCGATCCCTCAGACCCTAACTCTTGGATCCAATGAATGAATAACCAATGTATATATAGCTCTGCTTGTTCAGCTCAAACACTGTCAGCCCTAAATAAACAATGTCTCCTCTTTATACTGAGAATGCTGAGCCATCCCCTTTTGCTTTGCAGCAGTTTGGCTATTTATACTCCTAATAATCACTGCATTGTGTGAATATTGAACTACTGGTCTGGAACCAGGAGCCCTTTATGATACTACTTGAACAAGTAGTATCATAATACAGGCCATCCCTGCTCCAGAGAAGAAATACTGAAGTAGTTTTGAGGGCCAAAAGTCTCTTTTGAAAACTGGCTTTGGTTTCATAGGATGCATGGCAAGACATTTATGTACTTAACTCACAACTGCAGTTTAAAACTTGGGGCTGATATTTTGGTGTTGAAGTAGTGAGCAAGTCTGTCAAATGCCAGTACTTGACAGCAGCTTTTGTGTTTTTTCCTCCTCCTGTTCCCCAGTTTCATTTGGCTTCAAAGAACCCAGTGTTAAGTTGCCTTTCATGTTTTCGCAACATGTGTGGAAGAGGACAACCTTCATCCTCCAGAAGTATTTTATTATAGAGCTGTCAGCAGCAGTTAAAAGGGAAATGTTGGCTCTGCGTGAAAAGATGAGAGGGCTTCTCTTGGCTTTTAAATGAAAAAGTAGCTCTTATGCATCTAATGCTAAAAGCATAATGGCATGGGGCCAGCCATTAAGTATCAGTTGTAGGCGAGAGAAGCATTTCATTTGAACCAAGTGTAAGTAGTAAGGAGCCAGCTCCTGTGATTCTGCAGGAGTTGTATGCCTGCTCTACAGTGTGTGCACGGCACTATTAGAAAACCTGTTTCCATGGATCACAATGCAAGCTGTGAGTGCTTGGTGACTTGACAGCGTCCAAGTGCCGAGTGTGGACTGATGGGTTGGAGCATGGTGTGATCTGGGTAGCAAGGCTGGACAAGAGGTATCTGGGTGTAGCAGGGGGAGTTTTGGACTGGATATTAGGAAAAATCTGTTTGCAGAGAGGGTGGTCAGGCATTGAAACAGGCTGCCCAGGAAAGTGGTGGAATCACTGTCCCTGGAAGAGTTCAAAACACATCTAGACAAGGCCCTTAGCGATGTGATTTAGTGGTGGTCTTGGCAGTCCTGGGGTAATGGTTGAACCTGATGATCTTAAAGGTCTTTTCCAACCTAGTAGATTCTGTGATTCTAAAGCTGTTGATGTCTATAGGCTGAGATGAGTAGGAGGTACGAAGAGCATGAGCCAGCGACATTTTAGTAAGTTGTACAGCTGGATACAAACAGTGAGCAGGATTCTGCCGGTGTTGATTCTGCCTGTTGGCCTTTCAACCTGGTGCTTAAAACAGGTACTTTTTTTTTTTTTTTGTTACTTGCTTATTTATTCTCCATCATAGTGGGCAAAATAGGGCCTCAATGGAAATTTCTACCATTCATATAAGCTTTAGTTGTACAGATCTGCATTTCAGTGTGTAACTTGTATAACTCAGGTGTACAGCAGACTATACAGAGAAAATTCTTATGCCCCTACCTGCTGTGTTGTTTATGGCACTTTCTGTGTGGTACAAACCCCAGGTTAAAGATAAGAAATCCTGAGGATTGAGAGAAAAGGTGGGAATCCTCTGCTCTGAGATATGGTTTTGCTGAGGAATGTGATACTATCTGTGGATGTAGTGGTTTTCTTGGCGCATTACTGGCTCTGTCGATTTGTGTTAGCTCATCCCTCCCTCAGCCCCAGCACTCCGGCAGGCAGAGCAGGTCCAGCCTTCTGCTTCTTTTGGCTGGTGTGTAATAGTGGCAGAAAGATGGCAGGAGCTCAGTTACCTTCTGCGGTTTGCTGTGGAGCAGTTAAACATCCTTAAACTGCTGTTTTGGGGGCTTAAGATACCTTAATCACAACAGTATCAGTAGGGTATGCTCTAAGGCGCCAGGATAGCTGTGGAGAGGAGGCTGGCAGGGCAGGGAGAAACCACTGAGGGCTCAGGGTGAAATGAGGACAGAGGGGCAGCAGCACCTTCTATCAGGGAGCAAAGGAGAAATAAACACCAATAAATCTGAATTGCTGAACCATGTAGTTTTTGGTGTCCAGGCAGTGGCATTCTTGGAAGAGGATGAAATCCCCAATGTGCTGTGTGGTTGCTGTAACAGCTGCTCTTTATTTATGTTCCATTTCTATTTATACGCTGTTTCTATCCCTTGTGGTTAAAATCTTAATGACTTCATGCTTACTATTATGCTGTGATCCCAGACTGCAGGTCATTTTGGATCTTCCTCTTGTCTTCCTTAGCTCATGGCCAGTTAAATGTCAGGGATGTTTTTTTCTAGTCTGTTTGTAAGAGTGAAACCCTTCACTTGTCCCAGCTGTGTATTTCCATTCACGGACTAACAGTGGTTCCCAAGGAGCCATCTCTCTTTTTGGTCTGTTTACCACTCTCTGGTCTGCCTCTGAGAGGACCCTGCTTTCCTGTTGTCTGGCATCCAGAAGGCTGGAGGGCAGCCCCACAGGCAGCCCAGCTTCCCCACTGCACCTCTGTCTTTTCAGCCATCACTAAATTGACTATAAATTAGCCTGGCCTCTTATAATGGACTGTTTCATGGCTGTAGTTAAAATTGCAACAATTGTTGTCCATCAAGATCTGAAGTGTCCTTGCACTTGCTCCTACTCTTCCAGGCACAGGGGCTGTTGAAGGCAAGCAGAGTTCCCTTCCCCGTCACACCTCGCATGCAGACACATTAGTACATTTTGACACTCGACTGGGGAGCCAGGTAATCCCAACAGCCCCATTTCACAGCCAGCCTTGTTCAGGGTTTAACAGGGCTGAGCATACCATGTGTGTGCCTCTCACACCAATGTTGGACCATGCAGCCTCTTCTCTGCTGGGAGAAGGGATGTGTGTAGGGACCTACGACCTTCCTTAATGAAATACTGTAGGCAAACTACTTGATGGGGATGAATGGGGCTGTACCTTTCAAAGGTCAAGTAGGGGTAGTTAACTTTAATGCTGTGCTGCTGTAAGGCTGAGAACACTAACAGTCTTGTTCAAAATGCTACACATGTATAGATCTTCAGTCTTTGCAAGCAGCATCTAATTTTATTGTTACTTCTTTTGCAGCTTCTGTCGGTGTCAGATGGATGATAGGCGTTACAGAAATTAACAGGGGTTCCACCTATGGCAACAATGACAACAAGCAGAAATGAAAGTAGTATCTTCAGAGACTGCTTCAATCCAAAGGGAACAAATCCAACTTCTGAAAACTCTTAAGTGTGTATCATGGTCCTTCAAGTGAGAGCAGAGGAAGGGTAGGATGAGCAATTGCCATGCATATCTGAATTTGTGCTCCTGTTATTTTTCTCTGGGGGTTTGGGCTGGATGACACACTTGAAAGATGCACTCCTTTGTCTACTTGCCACAGCAAGTTTGCATTTGTTTGGCTGGTTTGTTTCCCTATAAACTGTCTTAAGTTTTGAAGAAGAAAAAAAAGTAATTCCAGTGTACTTGTATGATGAGAAATTACCTGGAAACTAACCAGAGGTGCAGGCTTTATCTTTCCTAACTTGCTCTAAGGAATGGACAAATGTCAGAAGATTGTTACAAGATGATTAAAATTGGTAGTTGTCTAGATCACACGTTAACAGTTTAACAACCATATTCTGTCAGTGTTTAAATACAGTAAGAGGCTCTGCTTGGTTATACCAGCACTAAACTGAAGCAGCTCTACTGAACTGAGAGAATTGCAAGTAGAGGTTTTTCTACATCTAGAACTTACTCCCATAGTGGGCACCACATGGGGCCTTTGAAACCTCAGCCAGACCCCAGACATCCCAACATCGTAATCCTGCAGTGGCATAACCTGGAGTGGCATTTAGCCTTGGGGCCATTTGCAGAGCTAAGAGTTACCCACTGCCACATCTTCCCCAGGCGATATATCAGAGGGACAACTAAAACCTGTAATTCTTTTGCGAGTAAATAAATGCCATTTATAGTTTGGAAAAACGGAGGTACTAAAATTCTTTTTCATCTTTAAACTGATTAAAATTCTAGGCCTTTCTAACAGTGGTGGAAACAGAACAACTGGGTATGCTGTAACGAAGTAATGCAAAGCACATTAAAAGTTATGCCCCACACCCCTACTACTGTTGTGATCCCTATTAATCTGCTTGTCTGTCATTTTCGGTTAGTTTATACAGTGCCTCATAACAGTCACCCTGAGGTAACAGCTAAATTATCTTTTGCCTTTTTTTTTTTGGGAGAAGAGGGGAAGTATTAGACAGACCTAGGACAGTGACAGTGCTTGGGACTTTTTATGGCTTTCTGGGCTTTGACACCCTTCTCAATTAAATAAATCTAGAATCAAGCACCTGTGTTGCTCTGACATCCCAGGGCAGCCTTCTCCTGGTTCTGAACTTTAGGAGTTAAGGGTATACAAGTTACTAAAAAGAACTCATTTAAAAAAAAGAAAAAAGGAAAGAGCAGACTTCAGCTACTGGCAATTATGATTTAAAAAACCCCAAATCTCTGAAATCTAAAGATACAGATGCTGAGCAGGGGCAATTAGGATTGGCACTTTCAATGATGGTACATTTTCATTGTGCATAGGACTAAACTGTGATAGACTAGGAGTGAACAGTCTGTGTGAGCCCAGAGAAGAAAGTCTTAGTTCTAGCAGCTGATACTAAAAACATTTCTGTTTCCCTACAGTAAAACAGAGGCCAGAAGAAATGGGGGCTAATACAACAGCATATGAATCATTCCATGAAATACACATTTGCTCTTCAGATGTCAGACCATCTTGAAACTACTGTCTTTAATACACAGCACCTAAAGAGCAGGTGCAGTAGTGCTTTTAGTATGGGACAGAAAGTAAAGATTTTTGATAGTGGAGGCAATAAAAAGTATAACATGAAGGAAGGAACAGGCCTTGGGACATGTGAGGGACTCGTTCTGGGGGCTTTTTCCCTGTCTTGTGTACACACGCATCCCCTATGCTCTGAAGCTTTCTCGAATAAGTGTATGAGGTCATGAACATAAACATGGGCTTTAGTGTAGTTTTTCCAACACAGGAGATAGAACCCAAAATCAGAAAACACTGCCATGCTTATAAAGCTGTTCTTTTAATCCTAACAGTGGAAAACTGAGTATTACAGCCTGTAGTAGTGTCTGACAATCCAGTTATCCCACAGTAATATAGCAGGCCATGTTACAGAGCCAGGCCTGAGGACACTGTACACAAGACACTGAATGTGGGTGGGACGGGAGAGAAGAGCATTCTCCAAGCTAGTGTTTTACTATAACTCTTACCTGGCAGATGCAGTGGACTTCTGTCAGGGTTAAAGAATGATCCTGTATGCAGGGCAAGTAATTCTGAGCAGCAAATACACATTCATGCAGTGACAGAGAGTAGCTTTTTTGCCTTTTTCAAGAGCCACTGGTGAAACATGCTGGCAGGGTGACACTGAACATTCCTTATGACTCTTAGTCCCTTCCTCTCCAACTGCATGTAGTGCCACTTCTCCCAGAGGAAAATACCAACCATGTAAATACTTCTGAGAAAGTATTTAGGCTATTCCTTATCCAGTTCCCTGGGACATGCCACTCCTGGATCCGTCCTCCTAAGCACTTGTGGCAGTCCCATCACCTGAGGACTGCAGCACTGGGCCCTGCCAGCGTCCACTGGCAAACAGAGCAAGAATACTGGAACTTGCCAAAGTAGTTATACTAGTCCAGTTCACTGTATTAAAAGAATGATGTATGTCATCAGGAAGCAGTGTTTGCCCCGTGTCCCCACAAGCAACTATATGTTCTACAACTGCCTTAACAAAAGTAGTCTTAACATTTGTTTATACAAAAATAAAAGTATAAAAAGCTAATGTGGAGTGAATGAGTTTTCTTTTGGTTGGCAACAAGGAACTAGTTAAGAGTTTACTTTTCACCTTTATCTTGACTCCTAAGAGCTGGCCACAGTTCCTGTTTCTGTACAGGGGCACCTGAGACGAGGCACATAAGGACACAAACCACTCGGTCACTTCTGATACACCACAAAGGGAAGCGCACAGCAGGCAGGAGAGGTTACTTTTACCTCTGGTCAGTCTGTTGCTGAGGATGACAACGTACTTTCTCCTGTCATAACTGAAAACAGAGACCTGAAGAGAGGGGAGAGTCTTTACCTTCAATGGTGACCTGCACAGCGAGACTCATCCTTTTCTAGATTTAAATATCAGATTTCACAGTACCTTAGCAACAGGTCACCCACCTGCTAAAAGCTACTGCACACCTGAAACAAACCAAGGCACTGTGGGTTAAGAGGAGAAACAGGACTTTAGAATAAAGCCAAGCAAGTAAGTTCTCTGTTTTATAAGCAAGTTACCCATTTTAAGGTCTAAAGCTGAACAGGAATATGGAAACTTGCACTAATACTTACAAGTAACAAGTAAGTTGTAAGTAAGTCATCTGTTTGCACTAGCAAGTTAAAATAATCTAACTAGATCCAGTGTTACAGACTGTTTCTTCTAGTTGTTAATCACTTCTAACCTCTCTGCGTTTTCTCACACCAGTGACAGCTGGGGGATGGTGGGGACATCAAAGTCCAGGATTAGAAATCGGTTTTAAAAAGCTAACAGTAAGTTCTTGGTTTTGCCACATGAACCACAGGAATAACCTTAACTGATTCCTTGGCCACAGAAGTGCTCCCTCTTCACAGTACTTTCATTCCAGAAGAAAGTTACTTCAGACCATGACTCTTTCCCTTAGATACTACACAGTATCAAGAGCTGTACATCACCTTATTTCCTCAGGAGAGGACGAAGGGGTGGGGACACAGCACCTTAATTCTATTATCAACTATGTAAGAAGTGTATCTTGAACTTGACAAAATGTGACCACTGCAATATAAAAGAAGCTTATTCCAGTTGGGATAGCTTAGCAGTCTCAAACAGGCATTGAAAAAATTCGTTTAAAATGTGACACAACCCCACATGCTTATTTTCAGAAGAAAACCCCTTCACCAACAACTCCTAAAATAAACCATTTATTGGGAAAAAACTTCTTTTAAAATTTCATTAATCAGCCTTTTGCATAACAAATCTGAAGCTTGCCAAAAAACAAATAAACAAAAAAATCCCAGTAAAAGTTCACAGTCAGTGCACTCAACAAACGGATTAAAAAACAAGGTCCATAACGCCTGATAACACTACAGCATTTTTCTGAACCTAAAGAGTTCAAAAATACTAGGTATTAACATTACAGTTCTCAATCAAATGAGAAACGGGAGCAAGAACAAAAAGGGTATGGTCCATATACAGTAGTAATGGCACTTTCACTGAAACATGCAGCTTCTTCCACCTCGCAGACACTGTCACATGAGCAACATGTGCCAAGTAAAACATACAGGAGCAGCAGAGAAAGTGACGCTCGTCACTTGTGCAGTCTTCGTAAGTTCAACTTTTATACTGTTTCTCAGCACAGTCTTTATGTAAATATTACATACAGTAGTGATTAAAAGATATCTTGCCAGAATATAAAAGGCCAGAGGTTGAATAACTTCATTCTTCATCTGTGCAAACCTGTGAAGGGAACAGAAGGCAATTAATTCCATTGTCTCCCTGCTACAGCAAGACAACAACAGATCAGTTTCTTCAGCACCTTCACTGAACATCTTTGAAGTTGTCTTCATTCTCCTTTGTTACACAGATAATGAATTACAAGTGTTTGTTTGCACATGAATACCCATGTTTGCACTGTCACCATGCAACTAAACTTTAAGCTGGAAAATGAGAGAATTCAATAACCTGCTGTGCTCCCTGTTCTTCAAAAACGTTACTAATACACCTGAATGTGTAGCTGTCATTATTTGCTTGTTCCTAAGCTAAGCATTAAACCCCACTTCATGCAGGAACTGCAGACTGTTATGCCAACTGCCAGATGAACATTCAGCATGAATGTCATGTTAAGTATGAGCTTTAAAGAAAAACAGGCCCTTGCACTGAAGGCTGGTCAAGTTCTCAAGCATGTGCCTCTTTCCCTTTTTCTGGAGGGGACCCTTACTCTCTATACTACCCAAGTTGTGCATCCGTACGTGAAGTTTTAGGGACAGAGCCCTTCAAGTAATCACCGCTGAGCTGAAGCTTGACAAGTCTTTCCAACATAAAGATACTGCATCTCAAAACAGCAGAAAAAGTTCATGACATGGTGCGCACCAGGTTCTTTTAGTCAAATGTTTGCCAGCAGCATCACATGTGCTTCTGAGAAGTTGCCAAACCTTGTTTTCTGGACAGCATCAACCTGATAACCAACCTCCCACTGTAATCCAAAGCCCTGCAGCATAGCTGCAAACAAGGGAGGCAAAAAGTCTGGTTTTGATTCTATCTACAGTGTTTGTAGCCAAAGCCACGAGACAAACCTTGACAAAAGGATGATCGAGGAGTTGGCTGGCCGTCCACCTCATCTTTGGGTCGCTTTCCAGGCAGTGGCAAAGGAAGTCTTTCCCTTCTGGGCTCACTTTGTCAGGAATAGGAGGTTTATGACCCATCCCCACTTTATACATGATCTGGAAGTTGTGCTCATATTCGTGCCAAGGCCTCTGCAACAGGCAACAGCATTGCAAGGTTTAGTGAGTAACTTGCTATCCAACAGAGCATATATTTGTGACCCCGGGAAATTAAAAACCACCCCAGTACTTGCAGACTTCAGTGTGATAAATGGCAGAATTTGCAGAGAAACTGCTAGGAACAATCTGCAGTCATCCAGTATGTGAAACATCCCTACCTTGCCGGTGACCATCTCTATAACAACGCAGCCCAGGCTCCAGATGTCTGCTGCACGTCCATGCCCTTCTCCTTTAGCTCTAGTAATTACTTCTGGAGCCATGTATGCTTTGAAACAACACATATGATGTCATCAGTACATAGGGCAGAAGGAATGGTATACCTTAAGTGATTAACTGGGTAAGCCAAATGCTTTTTAATACATCTGTAATGAATTACCACTCAGCTGTTCTTGCTAAGTTTTGTCATTTGCTCTCTCCTTGTTCTTGGACACATCGGCAGCATAACTCTCTTTCAATTTGAAAGGCGACTGTGAAAACGCTGGTACAATAACATGCTTTCTGTTGCTGTCATTTTAAAAAAGCAGATTCAGGAGCTGTTCCATAAGAACAGCACTGTTCCAGTAAGGCTGCAGAGAAAGATGCAACCCCAGAAAACACAAGCTCCAGCACCTTTATAGTTACCAAACAAACACAACTTTATTTCTCCAGTGACATCATTCACTGATTGTTTTGGCTTCTGGATGTAAGGCACATCTAACTAGCTACTGTAAAACCAAGTTTCCCTCAAACACAGCGTTTCACTCTGGCCCATACTTTTGGCAGAGGTAACTTCTTTTATGGTAGCTAGACAAGTGCCTGCCTAGCACAGGCTTCCTTACCTGCAGTCCCCAAGGTGCTGTTCACTTCTCCAGGCATTGTCTGGGTGTTGTTCTTCAGTTTCACTGAGCAGCCAAAGTCTCCTAGTTTAATCAGTCCAGATGAGGTAAGAAAGATGTTGGCTCCTAGGAAACACAACAAAAAACAGTAACACTTGTTAAACTGGTGTTGAACTGAGGAATGAGGGTTTCTCAATATGCTCTTGGAAGTTACATGGCAGATAACAGCGAATTCACACTTGGGTCTTTACCTGTGGATTAAGTATAAAATACGACAGCATTAGAGACATTCCCCAAAGGGTAGGCTACCAGGATTTTTGGTGGGTTTTCATAAACACTAA